TCACCTTTCGTAAAATCAACAATTAAAGTATAGGTAAATGATTTCATATTGATGTTTTATTTTTGTGAACTATACATACTTGGATTGAGCATATATAGTATTTAAATCTGTATTTAGCATATATAGTATTTAAATCTGTATTTAAACATCTCTCGTTGTATGAATTCATTAATTAAATATAGGTAAATCATTTCATGCATAGTCTTGTAAAATATTACAGTAGTATATATACTTGGATTGAATATATAAAATACGATTTAAATGTATCTCACGTTGTATGAGGTCTTAAACCTAGGTAAATCATTTCATACCTATAAATTATTCTAAAATATATATACTTGGATTTAGCACATACAGTATATGCATATTCTCTTTTTTAGTATTTTAATACGTATATAAATATAATACACGGATTATGAGGTCATTACTTAAACATAGGTAAATAATTCATATTTATGTATGGTTAGATTCACTGACAGTGAAATGTACCAAACAAAAAGTATCTCATTTCATATTTCTATATCGCCCAAACGCACGTGAATGGAACATATCGGCAAGTGAAAGGTACGACGCTCAAATAATAGTATATAACTACCAATTAAATTTAATGTTAATCATGCATTAGATATGCTCGCTCCCCTAACCACATACTTTGCCATTGGTCGCAAAGTATTGGCCATACGGTTTCAAAGATTAACCACCTTATTTTCGTTTCAAGCTGTTTCTAGGAGAACTATGGACGGAGCTGCGTACCTCGACGACTTTGCCTGCGCTGCATCTGTGCAACATCAGCACCCACCGTCTCAAGGCACTGACTGTGACAGTCAAGAAAACGGGACTGGCCGCTCTCGCGAAGGCTGTGGACCCACTGTCCATCCCCGTGAACACGACGGGGACTACGAGCGTACCGAGGCCGAACGTTACCACCACGAACCTGACGACGAGAGCAAGGATGGCGATGTCGACTGCCTTCGTTGTCAAGACCTTGCCCGTGAAAGTACAAGCAACCGTGGCCGTGACCTCTTCGATCTCCGCGATATAGACGACGGCAACGAGCGCGGCGTGGGCGAATGTGACTTCGACAGCAATATTGAAAACCGTGACCCTGACGACGATTCGGACCGCCATCGCTTCAAGACGTTTCAAGACGACACCTGGGGCCGGAGGAGCAATCGTGGCGGCGACGGCAACAAGCGTGATAGGGCTGAATGTGATGTCAACAGTGAGCGTGGCGACGACAGCGATTCCGACCGCGGACATGTTGGCGACTTTGAAGGTGGGGTGTGTGAAGAAGACAGGGACTTTGCAGTCGACTCGTCTGGATCGAGTGCGGAAGGGTCGTCTGTGAAGTGCCGGAGCATTGGTGATGCCCACGTGGAGATGCAAAGTTTTGACGACTTCAAGTACACTTACCTCAGCAGCAGTACAAGCCCACATGGTCCAAAGCCGATGTATCGTTG